ACATGGTTTCAAGGATGTAATATTTATGGGAGTAAGCCCTGGTAATGGTTAAAGCATTCAGCAGCTAACCAAAAGATCCAAATCCACCAATCTGTTGGTAAATTAAGGCTGAAACCTTGGAAACGCTATTGGGCAGTTCTACTGGATTCTATAGGGTCACTATGCGTTAGAATTGGTTTGACAAGAAATAAGATTGTTTTGTTTTATATTTTTTCTTTTAATCTTGAAAGGCCTGTGTCCCTCAGAGGCACAGAGTACCAGCTGACAGGCTGAACCCACCCAAAGGCACCTTGGAAGACAGGCCCAGTGATCTGCTTCCAAAAGGGTCAGCTTTGAAAACCCTATGTTGTTGTTGTTGTTAAGTGCCGTCGAGTTGGTTCCTTCTCACAATGCCCCTGTATAGGAATTCCAAGGAGCATCTGGTGCTTTTGAACTGCCTACCTTGTGACTCAAACCGACCTTGTGGCCCAGTACTTATCCTACAGTGCCACACCAGGAATCCCATAACCCTATTGTTGTTGTCAAATGCCATCGAGTTGGTTCCAACTCATAGTGACCCTGTATAGAGCACTTCTATTTGGCATACATAGGGTTGCTATTAGCTGAAGTCAACTTGACAGCAATTAACAACAGCAACAACAGTCTTGAAGGTGACATCCCATCACTCAAAGGCAGATCATTGAGAACCATATTAGAGACAACCTACCACATAAAGTAAGCAATTGGATGAACAAATCCAGAGTTCAGGAAACTGGGCTGGGTTGGCCATTACATATGGAGCTATCAGTGACAAGTCTGAAGGATAACCTGGGAGTCAGTGAGACCAGAACACTCCAATGCTTGGAGGTCAGAAAGAGGAACAGGAAGGAGCCAGTGAAGAAGGTAGAAAAGAGGAATGGAGACAGTGGCAGTCCTGGCGGCCTGTTGGCAGGAGGAGGAAGGGACAGGTGGTGCAGAGTCACTGAGATAAGTAAGATAAGGTGGAGAACTGACCACCTGACTGGGTAATGTGTAGACCCCTGGTGACCTGGGTCAGAGAACCTCAGTGGAGCAGTTGGGGGTAAAGATCTGACTGGAGGGGGGGGTTCTACAGAGAATGGGAGGGGAGGAAGCAGAGTCAGAAGCAAGCATGCTTTTGAGGAGTTTTGGTGACCAGGGGAGCACAGCTGTGTGCTTGAGTGTCTTCGGTTTTCCTGCATCAGACAATCCTAACCAGTTGCTGCAGTCAGTTCCAACTCATGGAGATCCTGTATAGGTTAGAATACAATTGTGACTCATTTTTCAGAAGTAGATAACCAGGCCTTTCTTTTGAGGTACCTCTGGGTAGATTTGAACTTCCAACCTTTTGTTTAGTTTGTTGTTGTTAGGTGCCATCGAGTCTGTACTGACTCATAGTGACCTTATACACAGCAGAATGAAACACTGCCCGATCCTGGGATAACCTTACCACTGTTGCCACACTTGAGTCCATCCACTTGACCAATCCATCTCGCTGGGGGTCTTTCTCCTTTTCTCTGAACCTCTACCTTACCAAAAATGATATCCTTCTCCAGTGACTGGTCCCTCCTGACAATATGTCCGAAGTATGAGAGACGAAGTTTGGCCATCCTGGCCTCCAAGGAGCACTCTGGCTGTACTTCTTCCAAAATGAATCTATTGGTTCTTTTGGCAGCCCATGGCACTTTCAATATTCTCCTCCAACACCATAACTCAAAAGCATCAATTCTTCTACTGTCTTCCTTATTCACTGTCCAGCTTTCTCGCATGTATATGAGGTTATTGAAAATACCATGCCTTGGGTCAGGTGCACCTTAGTCCTCAAGCTGACATCTTTGCTCTTCAACACTTTAAAAAGGTCTTGTGCAGCAGATTTGCTAATGCAACACATCCTTTGATTTTTTGACTGCTGCTTCTGTGAGTGTTGATAATTGATCCAAGAAGAATGAAGTCCTTGACAACTTCAATCTTTTCTCCATTGATAAGAATGTTGTTTATTGGTCCAGTGGTGAGGATTTTTGTTTTCTTTACATTGAGATGCAATCTGTACCAAAGGCTATGGTCTTTGATCTTCATCAATAAGTATTTTAAGTCCTCTTCACTTTCAGCAAGCAAGGTTGTGTCATCTGCATATTGCAGGTTGTTAATGAGTCTTCCTCCAATCCTGATGCCACCTTTTTCTTCATATAATCCAGCTTCTAGGATTATTTGCTCAGCATACAAGTTGAATAAGTATGGTGAAGGAATACAACCTTGTCGCACACCTTTCTTAATTTTAAAGCATTCAGTGTTCCCATGTTCTGTTCGAAAAACTGCCTCTTGGTCCAGGTACAGATTCCTCATGAGTATAATTAGGTGTTTCAGAATATTCATATTTTGCAATGTTGTCCATAGCTTGTTATGATCCATACAGTTGAAAGCCTTTGTGTAATCAATAAAGCACAGATAAACATCTTTCTGATATTCTCTGCTTTCAGCCAAGATCCATCAGACATCAGCAATGATATCCCTCATTCCAGGGTCTCTTCTGAATCCAGCTTGAACCTCTGGAAGTTCTCTGTCAATGTATGCTTGCAGCCATTTCTGTATTATCTTTAGCAAAATTTTACTCACATGGGATATCAAAGAGATTGTCCAACGATTTCCACATTCACTCTCTTTGGAATGGGCACAAATACAGATCTCTTCCAATCAGTCGGCCAGATAGTTGTCTTCCAAATTTCTTGGCAGAGATGAGTGAGTGGCTTCTTGCTGAGGGCATTAACCGTTTGTACCACCCAGGGACTTCAGGTAAATTTAATTGAACTGATTCTTGGAACTATGGTTCTCCCTCCAACTGCTTAATGCGAATGTCCTCTCCCCCCACCAGACTTCACCTTCCTTCTCTGTTCCCACCACAGTGAACCTAGCGGGGATGGGGAACCAGAAGTCTGAAGTCTGCCCATATTTTATTTCTGGTACCAATGAGTCACAACCAGACAAGGCACGCCTTGTGAGACAAGGGTGGGAACACACACTATTAGTCCTCAATCATCAGTTTGAAGCTCCCTAAATTCCCAGTCAGCCACCCCCAGAGGATCTGGTGTCCTTGGCAAACAGTATTGATGGGTAACAGCCTATTACTGACTGCCATCTTGTGGTCATTTGGGGAAGTGGCCTAGATCCAAATCTTTCTCTTTACAGGGCAGAATTTAGTGAATTGTTAAAATAGTATCTGGCACTTAATAAGTGTTCAATAAAGTAAGCTGTTGTCATTATTGAAGCTCTGAAGCCAACAGTTAATATACCCAGCTTCTAAGCTAGAAACTAGAGGTTTGAATCCACTGTAGGATAAGCATTCGACCCCTAGGTCAGTTTGGACTGCAAGGTCGGTGGTTCAAATTCACCAGTCACTCCTCAGAAAACCTATACAGGGTCACTATGAGTCTGAACCAACTCGGCAGCACACAACAACAACAGAGGCTCTTCAGAAAAAAGGCCTGGCCATCTACTTCGGAAAAATCAGTCCTTGAACACTGATACACGTGGAGTGGCCATGATTGGATTAACTTATTAGTAACTGGTATTGTTCTTATACTTATGGTTTGGAGGGATGTAGTCCAAGTAAACAGTGTCCTTTGCCTTCACTCGTGACAGTTTTGAAGAAAAAGGAAATATCCAAAAAGAAGTCTTTCCTTTTTATCTTGGTACAAGTAAGAGTGTCTCAGGGAACCAAGTGGAGCTTTCACATAGGAATTAAGGTCATGGAGGTCCCAGTCCTGCTTTTGCTGCTATGTGTCCTTCATCACATCACTTGAGCCCCTGAGCCTCAATTTTATCAAACCATGAACCATTAGGATGAAAACGATTATATATTTACACAAATAATGCGTGACTATTCTGGGACCTTTTAAAACTGTATAACCCTCCTTGCATGGGTTTTCTATTTGTACTGTGCTTGTTATATGTGTGTGCATGTCATTTACATGAACACATTATATGCAGACCATGTTGTACACTAGGTGATTCAAGTGAAGAGCTTTGGTAAAAGGGGAATTCTGCTGGTTGACACAGTGGTTTGTTAGCTCTCAGTACAGGGGGTATCGGATTTCAAAGTAGTGGTTCTCAACTGCACGCACTTGAGCCCTCCAGGGGACACTGGTCAATATCTGAAAACATTTTTGATCTTCTCAACTGGGGTTGGGTGATGTTTCTGACATCTAGTGGGTGGAGGCCAGAGCTATTGCTAAATATCCTATAATGCACAGCACAGTCCCTCATGACCAAGAAGTATCCAGTCCCAAATATCTATGGTGCCAAAGTTGAGGAGACCTGGAGTTTTCTTATTTGGAGGCTCTTCTTGTCATTTTATTAAGAACCAACAAAGTATGGCTTCTTCCTGCAGAGTATGCCCAAACTGGAAAGGGGATGTCCCCAGGGTTCCAGGCAGGAGTGAAATAAGATTACCGAACTCTGCAACAGGGTCACCACAATCTGGCTACTTGTGGCTATTGTAATAGAAACTTATTAACATGGAATCACATTTAAAATTTGGTTCCTGGATTCCAAAAGCCACATTTCAAGGGTGCAAGAGTCACATGTGGCTAGTGGATGGAGAGCATTTTCATTGGCGTAGAAAGCTTTACAGGACAACGCTAGTCCAGAAGGCCCCAACAGGACCCTGCATCTGCAGGGTGGTCCACAGAGGAAAATTAGGGTACTAAGGCCATGCAGACAGGAGAGGACCAGGAGAGAAAACAGCATAAACCAATGAGACCATTAAGTGAGCACAAACATAGCATATAATTTAATGTTAAAACAAGTCTTTCTCTTTCTCATAAACACACATAAAAACAAACATACGTGATGTGCAAGAATTGTAATACCCACCTTCCCCAAGAAATCATTCCTAAATGCAGAACCCAAAAGGCAAGCAGCCCTAGTAGAAGGCAAGCAGGAAAAGGGGAGCTCCAATGTCAGGAAGTACTATTGTCCCTCTCTCACTCTTTTCTTCCTGCTCCAATTCAGTTAAACTTGCGGTACAGTGCCAGCTGAATCGGGGACCAAGAGCTGGCTATACTGACGGAGGAGTGTCGGTGGCGGCCCGTTTTGTTGGAGAGCTTGGGGTCCTTGTAAAGGATGATTATTTGCTTGATGACAAATGGCAGACAGCAGAAGTGCAGGAACATGCGAGAAACCTGGAAGATCAGGTGCAAGTAACTCAGCTCCTCAAACACCTTTTTGATGGACTCCCTGATAAGCAGGACCATGAAGAAATTGATGGCCTCATAGATGATGATCCATATGACATAGATCAGCATCCCCAGGTAGATATTCATGTAGATGCAATAAATGAGGGTGCAACTGACTATGAGGGTGATGGCCGATAGGCAGATTTTGATGCTCTTCATGTACATTATGAACCAAGAATCATGATCCAAGTGTGTTTCCTTGTAAACACTGAACATATCTGATTTGTAGCCAAAGTCTGTAACATAGTTCACCTCAAAGAGGAGAAACTGGATGGTATTGAGGACAGAGAAGATGCCCACGATGAAGCAATTCTTCTTCATATTCATTTTGTACTTGTTTTACCAGAGTATCTCCTTCATAAAAAAAAAAAAAAAAAAATCACATGAGGACACATGACAAGATGACAGAGCTAGACAAAGTCCCCAAGCTACTAGATGTACATGGGGAAAGTAAAAGTAATAATGGTATATGGACAGGTGATGGGTGGGAAGTCCTGGGACATGGGGGCTGGTCTGTGCTCTGACCTAACAAGCCTTATTGTTGTGAAATGGGGGTGTTCTGTACTACTAATGCCAGTTGTTGATGTTGCATATATTGGACACAGGCTTGCTTCAAGGTGGCAAAAAGGGTGCTCCCATTGGTGTCAGGTTTTAGGGAATTAGGTAAGAATAATGGGATAATGATGTAGTCAATTCTTGGCCCCTCTCTAGGAAATCCCTCCCCACTTTTCCTTTCTTCCAAGCTCTTAGAAAGAGAATTTCCTTGCTTTGTTCCTTAGTTCTCTGACAGACATGTCCCAAGTTGCAGGCTTTTGGTCAGCAGCATGTGGAACGGGGAAAGTTTATGGATGGAGACTTACTAGCTTTTCTGCCCAGGGTAAAGATGACTTAAGGATAAACCACAGTTGTGCAGGCAAAGACTCAGAAAGCAGACCTCTGGATGCATCCTGAATTAGGCCTGATCTCAGGGTGGAGATCCTAGAGCCAGAGCAAACCCTGCTGAGGGTGTTGGTTATCAGCGAGGGCCCAAGGTTGGGGTGTCTGTGGACCCAGTGCAAATGTCCCTCCCAGGATGATCACCTTCTCACTTTGCAATTCAGAGGACTCTCCCTGTCTTCATTCACCTCACTGGGGCACTATCACTGGAAGAGGAAAAGACAGGGAAAATGGTATACAACAGAAACACATGCCTTCCTATACCTGACAGCTTTCCAATGGAGGACCTCAGCTAGAAGCCTGATTCGACCTCTCTCTGGGGTGTTTAGAAGAGAGCTCCTGCTCAGTTCTGTCAGAGGCCATCTGCCTCTGCTCTGCCCCCCTGGCCCAACCACCCCAACCTTCTCTTCCTTACTTGCTGGATCCATCGCAAATATTCCTTCACCTTCTTCACCACTATTCCACTGACCCTGCAAGACTCCAGAAGCCATTCTTTGAGAAGCACATCTTTCTACATGCCTCAGATGTGAAGGGGTGCCAGGTGGGGTGGGAGAAGCTATGCACAGGCCTCTCTGACTCAGCCACCAGTGGGCCACCAGGCCTCGAGGACAGTTGCATTGATTTTTTTCCCCTTCTCCACCAACCAAACTTCATTTGTTTCCTTCTCATCGAGCAGTTTCCAGAGCAGTCATTATCCATGGGGTGCTATCCCAAACTGGCCCAAATAGGGTCTCAGCCCACACAGGTTTATCCCTTTGGTTGAGGCCTACATCACAGGTTTCAAGGCACTGTCTTTATACATTGCATTGGTTCCACATCCCCTCAGTCCCAGGCTTGGTTCCAGCCTTCAACACCTCCCTCCTGGGTTGCCGTAATAACCACCTAACTTCTGCTTCTGCCTTCTGGTGGGTTCCTCTGCTACATTCTAGTCACTCAACACGCACACAGCAAACATCTACTGAGGACCTTCTGTGTGTGAGGTACTGGGCTCAGTGCTGGAGATACACAAGGAAGTATTCTAATGAGGGAAAATAAACATTTTCTTAAATAAAACATATATAAATAAAACTCGTCTGTGCTGTGATGGGAGTGATCCCATGTCTTCAAGACGTCACAGTGAGAGGCCCTACCCTAGAAAAAGAATCAGGAAGCTTTCTGTAGTTGAGCTTGAGTCTTAAAGGATGAAGGCCTTATCTGTACAGAGAAGGAGAGATTTCATTCCCAGCAAAAGGAGCTCTGGTAATGTAGTGGTTATGAATCGGGCTGCGAACCGAAAGGTCAGCAGTTCAAAACTACCAGCAGTTCCGCGGGAGAAAGGTGAGGCTTTCTGCTCCCGTAAAGATTTACAGTCTCGGAAACCCTGTACAGGGTCGTTATGAGTCGGAACCGACTCCACGGCACATAACAACAACAACAACAACAACAATAGAGAAAAAGGGACAGAAGAAAGTCAGTTTGGAAACAGTAAGTTTGGTGTAAGTTGAGGGTCCTGTGAAACCGTGGAGGAAGGGGCCAGACAATGAACAGTTTTTACCTGCCAGGTGGAAGTTTCTCTGGAAGACAGTGGGGAGGACTGGAAGGACTTTAAGGGTATGCATGTGTGGAAAAGATCTGATCCGATCTTCCCATGTTTTGCCATTTTTAACCCTTTCTACAGCTGCTCCAGTTAATATGAACAACCAAGAACTCAGAGTTCAACATGGAATAATTCACACCGGGGCTCCCAGTGGGACAGCTCCCAGAAAGCTTTAAAGCCTCCAAGTGCCCTGGGGTGGTGCTGTAGGATAGGCACTGGACTGCAGCTTAAACCCACCAGCCGCTCTTGGAAATCATATACAAGATCACTATGAACTGGAATCAACTTGACGGCACTCAACAATGCCCATCACTTGTTCATGCTGACTGCTGTCAGCGCCTGCTCCCTGCTTTCTGGAACTCCCCATTGGCCCCTTGGTTCCACAGAACCTTCTACCATAAAAAGGAAAATCACACGCCACTGCACATTTGATTGGTGCCTTCCAGAAAATGCTATCTCTCTTTGCCAATTAAAAAATTAGTAAGAATTCTATCGCTGTTGTTGTTGCTATTAGGAGCTCTCCAGTAGGTTCGGACTCATAGCAACCCTGCATAAGGTTTCCGAGGAGCAGCTGGTGGTTTGAGCCACAACCTTGTGGTTAGCAATCTAGAATTTTATAAAAACATTTTTAAAACTTTCTTTTAATAATTGCCTAAATAGGTGTGATGGTTCATTTTATCTGTCAGTTTGGTTAGGCTATGTTTCCCAATTGTTTGATCACACACTAGTCTGGATGTTGCTGTGAAGGTATTTCGTTGCTGTGATTAATATTTATTCACTAAATAAAAGAGATTACCTAGAAAATGTGGGTGAGCCTCACCCAATCCATGGAATCCCTTGAAAGCCAATGTCAGTTTTCAGAGGAGGAATTCTAACTCAAGACTATAACACAGACACCCTGCTGGAGTTTCTAGCCCACTGCCTGGCCATCAATTTCAGGTACAAGATTATCAGAGTTTCTACCTGTTGCCTACTCTATAGACTTTGGACTTGCCAGGCCTACAACCTCAGGAATCAAATCCTTAAAATAATCTCTCTCATTCTCTCTATAATCTTATTGGTTCTGTTTCTCTGGAGAACCATGACTGATGCAATAATAGGTAATTCATTCATGTGATTAAAAAATAAGACAATATTACAGATAGACAACAAAAAACTGTGGCTTCCATTCCTGTCTCCCATATATGTCCAATTTCTACACCCCTCAAAATAACCACTGTTATTAGTTTATCACGTATCCTTATGCAAATTCTCAGGTGCTTATGCAAATAGGAGCAATTCAAATATATATTATTATTTCATTTTTCTACATAATCATGGTCTACGATGTCTCAGATTGTTCTATAATAATAAGAAGGCAGATTTCATTCCCAGCAATGGAGACAAAGGGACAGAAGAGAGTCAGTTTGGAAACAGTAAGTTTGGTGTAAGTTGAGGGTCCTGTTAATAAGAAGGGACTTCAAAAAATCCACGGGAAAATTCCATTCTCTTTCCCATGAATTTTCTGAAGCTCTCTCATGTATCTTGGCAATGTTGCCATATCAGTACATAATGACCTCCTTACTTTTTTTTAAGTATTTATTGTGATTTTTTTTTTTAAAGTTTTTATTGTGAATTATGTGACAATTTACATGGGAGAACATTAGCTTTACAGTCATCCTATCGTATTTCATTTCATTGCGATGATTGCAGTCCCCTCCATGCATCATCAAACAACCAAAGGGTACACCCTGCAAGCCTGCCCCCGCCCCCGCTGCCAGCACACAGCCCCTCTCTCTCCCTGAGTCCAGAGTCCCCAGCTGCTCCATCTCTCAGTTTGCTTCCATCTCTGGCATCACTGCTTCTCTGGGTAGGGTCTCACACTCTGCTCTTCTCCCTTGATGATCCCAGGGACCTCCACTCCTGGACTGCAAAGTCAACCACTCCCCTCCTCTTGCTACATTTCCAACCCTGCCCCCTGGTCATCAGCACACAGCCCCTCTCCTTCCCTGAGTCCAGTGTCCCTAGCCGCTCCATCTCTCCACTTCATCATCTCTGCCTCCATCTCTGACATCATTGTTTCTCTGGGGAGGGTCCTGCACTCCCCTCCTTTTGCTACAAAATGTCTACCTTTACATTTCCAACCCTCACAGTCAGTCCTGATAGCAATTATTCACTATTGTATCACAAGAATCCTATCCCCACCTCCTTTCATCAGCCCCGTCCAGGCAGATTGGAAACCACTCAGTGGAGATTCTTTCTTCTCCTGCACCTCTTGGAACTAGGCTCCCTCTTGAAAGCTTGTAAGACTTTTTGCCTTTGTAAACCCTGCCCCCCCTTTTGGGTAGCCAATGTCCAAGTTGCTCATCTCTGTCAACCCTACATACTGAAGGGGTGGAAATGATCCTAGCTGTAAAGATTTGTTCCCTCTTCTGAGCTACTACATCCATAAGTATAGGTCAAGTTCATCAAATTGTAACAGATTACTCTTTTTTTCCTCTTCTTTCTTCTTCTAGTCAAGTTCTGATAATCCAACCATTGAAGCCAGGTCAAGTGGGTACAATCTTAGTTTTTATTGTGATTTGAGTAAAAGTTTACAGGACAGATCATCAGTTTTACATTCAACAAATCATATACTTTGTTTCATTACAATGATTAGAATATCTTTCATGTACCATCAGTTAACAGTATTTCTCTTTGTTTTTTTAAAACACTCAGACATATATAATAATTTAAACAACCAAAGAGCATATCTGCAATCCTGCCTCCTGGCCGCCAGCTCTCAGTCTCTCTCTTTCCATGAATCTAGAGTCCTCAGGTGCTCCCTCTCTCTATG